AAATGCCATAATAGACTTTGTTAAAAAGGCTGGCTTAAAAGGATAACTTTAACCTAGAGATGAGTCACAATAGATGTTTTAGGTCGAGTAGAAGGGTGGTTAAGCGCCTACTTATATTGAACTTAACCTAACCTAGTGTACCCATATTTGGCGAGCGGTTTACCCCTATAAGCAAAGCACAAACCGACTAATTTGCATTTGCATTTTTACCCCACAAAACCTTCTTTATTCAATTTTATACATTTTTTCAAATGTATTTTTTTAATTTTTGTGGGCCGGAAATTGTTATTAACAAATAATTTATAACAAAAAAACAAAAACAAAAATCGCTTCGAGTAAAATTTTTTTAGACGTACCTATCTCATCAAAGTAAATACTTTTTTCTCTTGGTAATTTTTTGAGTAATGCTTATTTTTCGAGTTATTTGCAATTTTTTGTTGAAAAAATTTCTTAACTATTGATTTTTGGGATTTTTTTTCTAAAAAACTTCTAAATGAATTGCAATTTTATAAAAAGCTTTGTCTCTAAACTTTCAACTACAAGCAGGGCGGTTTCTACATTAGTTCGATTGTGCAGTGAACACCCAATAAAATTTCATTAAAATACAGTTTTTTTTCAATCTCAAAAATACTATAGTATCATTAAAATATATTTTTTTAAATCTCCTAGTACATATCATTAAAATATATTTATATATTTATTATTCATATTTATTTGCACAACGCTGCTAGATGCACGTGCCAAGTGAAAAATTCAAATTAAACCCAGACATTAGTCAATTAACCCTTTAGTTAGAAAGAGATAATTAACGGTCTTAAAATCCGTGTGACCAGCGAATCGTTTATTTAAGGCAGTGTGAATTTGTGCATTGCACAAAGCAAAACAATCCCATTGAGTGGAAAAGCGAAGCAAAATACCTCGGGGTAATAATGGACAAAGGACTAACCTTTAATAAACACGTAGAAGCTAGGGTACAAAAAGCCAACAATGCAAGGGCCGCAATAAGAGGCCTAGCAGGAAGGAAAAGCAAACTTCGTATAAAAACCAAAATAAGACTTATAAACAGTATAGTCCTTCCTATACTGACCTACGCGTCACAAAGAAAAGAAAATACAGGCGTAAAGAAAATACAGGCACAACACAACAAAAGCCTAAGAGAAGCGGTAAACGTACCAAAGATACGTAGCTGAAAGATTCCTTTTCAGAGAATTACAACAAATCAGAGTGACTGACACTATGAAAGAAAAAGCTAGGAAAAAGTTCGCAGAATTAGAGAACCACCCCAGTCACATTCTACGAGAGATAATGAAGTATGACGCTTTCCACAGATGGAAGCACCAAAGACCAAAACAACAAATCGTAGACTAAAATAAAACCAGAGAGAGAGAAATAAAAAACCCCCCCAGATGGACAGAATTCAACAAAAAGCCCAGAGTGAGAAGAAACTTCAAATCATACCACACACACAAGGAAGACAGTTCGTAGCTCAAATCACCCAGATTATCGCACATCGCCTCGTTCAGAGTGAGCCCAGCAGCTCAAATAGGATACAATCTGTATTATGGTATCGTATAATATTTATATATTTTCTTTATTATAATATAGATTATACACTAATTATGATTTTTTGTCCACAGGTCACCTACAAAAAACATAAAAAACCGGCTTCGGCCACCAAAAAAACTAACAAAAAACCCCAAAACCCGGGCACATAGGGCCCAACCCCCTTGAGCACCAAGTCGCCGAACTGAGCCGGGACTCAGAGCGGAGACTTGAGGCCCCAGTAAGCAATTTTAGTTCGCGAATAAGCCACATTAAGATAAACAGGAATATAGCGGAGACGCGCTGTCCTGAGTTTTTGCATTCGGTTAGGAAACCATGTTGGGGTTCTATTACCCAGGACCTCCACATGAAGAGCATTTGTTGTGCCTCTATAGCGAATCAGATTGCTATAGGGGGGAAAGGGATGGTCTGGAGCATTGGAGCACGGTGGGGTGATTCCTGTTTTTAACTCGAGTTAACACACCTTGCTCCAATGAATTGTTACACCCGATCGTACTACCTGGGTAAACATTTCTCATAGGTTGGGTTTAATCAAATTGCTTGCTTGCATTGCACAAAGAGACGGGAGTGTTTCGATTCACAGTTTGGTATTTCCTGTGGTGGGATTTATTTAAATGTTAAATACGATATTAGTAGTTTTAGGATGGAGCCTTATTCAATGGAGTTTATAATAAAAAAGTAAATAGTTTTGAAGATCGACTTATTATAAAAAAAGAATGGACCACCTCGGCCAGAGATAAAGTTGGTACAAGAATGTGATATAAGAAACAAAAAGTTTAAACGTTGTTTTATTAAAGTTGAAAAATATAGAAAAACTTCGTGGTTATGCGGGTGTGATGAACTACATTCTTTGTTTTGTTTTCCATGTTAAGTGTTTTCAAAGAATGAAACAATTTCTTCAGAGTAGACAAAACGGGCGTTCGCGATTTACCTCACTTATCAACAAAAATAAACAAGGCTCTTCCCAAAATCATTAAAAAAAATGAATTGCAACTCTCGGATATTGGCAATATTAATGTTCGCCAATTATTAAATTCTTGCTATCGAAAATCAATAAAAGAGTTTCACGACCAAGTTAAAAATCGTTCCAATTTGTCCCGTCTTATCGATTATGTAAAATTTTGTGTCGTATTCAAAATACCTTTGCGGAGACATGACGAGTCATCAGAAAGCTTAAATCCAGAAATATTTAGGGGCCTCATTGATTTTGTATCAGAAATCGATATGGCTATGAAACAACATTTGTAAGGAAATAATAATGATACCGTTTCTATAATTAAATTGTTTAATTGAACACCCTTTTAAACTACCATGAGCCGTCACTGACTACAAGTAAGAATATTTTGACAAGAATAAATGTTTATATCTATGTTTAAATTTAAAACTATGTTTTTAGCAAGATAGAAACGACTTATCCTAGTCAAAGTGTTATTACTTGTACGTGGAGGTTTAAAGATTATAAAGCTTTTTGTAGAAATATAATTCATTTAGTAGTTTTTCAGAAAAAATTCCAAAAATTACTAATTAAGGCATTTTTTCAACAAAAAATTTCAAATAACTCGAGAAAGAAACATTTTTCGAAAAATTACCAGATGAGAAAAAGTATTTACTTCAATGAGACACGCCTAAAAAAATTTTATTTAAAGCAATTCGCAAAATTGTTTTTTTATTATGTTATTTATTAATAACAATTTCCGGCCCACTTGAAAAATAAAAAAAATACATTTAAACTTGAAAAAATATATAGAATCGAATAAAAAAGATTTGGTGCGGTAGAAATGCAAAAAAATTAGTCGGTTATTCCGTTTCTACGCGTCTTTTTCGGGGTAAACCGCTCGCATATATTAGTAGATACAAAAAATTCTTAAATTAATAAAATTGGAAATATATACACACACTCAATGATGTTTTGCATATTATCTGTAACGCCACTGAACGTTTCTTATTTGAAATTTTTTGCACTGATTTTTTTTTGTCTACTAAAATATTGTTTATTGCTTGTTTTTTGTTACTTAATCCTCGCGGAGATTCTAAGTATTCATATTGCGTTCATCAGTTTTCAAAAACCGATATTTGTAAAAATTGGTTTGCGTTTTATTCACTTTGTAGTGAACAATATAAATAGACAAGTGATATCTGAGTTCAACAGAGCTAGAATCGTTACTTTGATTGAGGAAGGCCACACACAAGTCGACGTTGCTGTCCGGGTTGGAGTTAATCAGAGTGATGTGTCTCGGATTGTGAGAAAATATCGAGAGACGAATTCTGTTAGCGATCGTCTAAAAAGCGGAAGACCCAGAATTACTACCAATGTCCAAGAACGCTTTTTAACGTTAACTGCCCGGAAAAACCCCTCGACGACTGCCCCAGCTATTAGAAGAGAGCTCCAGCAAGCTCATAATTTTGTAATTTGCTATCAAACTATTAGAAACAGGTTACATTAGGCGAATTTATTTACAAGAAGACCATTGTTTGTACCAAAACTTACGTTAGAGCAGAAAAGGACTCAACTGGAATGTGCCAATGAACATATACAATTGCATGACAACAGATGAGGACACGTGTTATTTTCTGATGAAACCAGAATTAGCCTTTTGTCGGATAATCGCCGAATTAGGATTTGAAGGAACCCAAATCGACAGGATAGACTTAATCAAGCAGTCCAAAGAGTCCCATATCAAGGTGGCTCAATAATGATTTGGGGCGGTATCATGATAAATAATAAAACTCCTTTAACTCCTATTGTTGGTAACATAAATTGACAAATTTATATTGATACCATTCTTAGGCCTGTTGTACGCTTGTGGCGAGGAGTTGTTGGTCCAGAATTTATTTTTATGGACGACAATGCGCCTCCCTATCGTACGAGACATGTGGCAGATTTTTTAGAGACAGAAGATATAGGCAGATTACAATGACCACCTTGCTCACCTGACCTCAATTTCATTGAGCACGGATGCAATATGCTCAAAAGAAAAATTCAGTACCGGCAGCCACACCCAAGGACATTACAAGACCTTAGAATAGCAGCGATTGAAGAATGGGACACCATGGACCAGAACTACATTAATACACTTATAAGAAGCATGGGACATCGCATTCAGTTTTGCATTAATGTATGTAATTGCGTAATGTAATGCAAAAGGTAGAAATACGGCATATTAAGTATTAGTTCCTATATCTGTACAATTTAAAAAATATATATATATTTTAACACATATTATAAATAATAATAATAAATTGTTAATCCTTTAAATTTTGTTTATTGTTTTTTCAAAACATACAATTTTATATATATAATAAAGTATTTTGTTAAAAAAAAAATAGATTGCACCAGATTTGGTGGATAATTTTGAAAATATTACATTATGCAAAACATTTTTGAGTGTGTGTATATATATACAATTTTCATTTATAAATTAATGTGCTATACACACCTCTACTACACCTAGCTCCGAAATATCCTGTACCTTCGCACCTACAACGGTAGCCTGGTTGTTGAGAAATTTGAATGCATGTACCGTTGTGTAAACATGGATTATGGATTTTGCAAATATCTCGTTTTTTTCCTAAAAATTAAATCAGGGATTACTAATTATACTATAAATAATTAGAGTTGTACATAACGAAACATATTTTTTATATGAATAAAGATTTAAAATCATTTTAATGGCGTAAAAGTTTATGTTGTATTGTAATTTAAAACAAGCTGTTTAAAATCAAAATTGCTAATCATGGATTAAATTCTCCTATGCTCGTTTCCATTAATTGTTGATGAATTAGTAATGTTATCGGATCTCAACACTTTAAATTTCGCAGCCACAAGAACTTCTTCCTCTCGACTCAATATTTTTTTATATTTTTCTGAATAACGAAGCCTTCCTATTTTTATGGTCTTCAAACCATCTCCTATATTTAAAAAATAATAAATGAATAAAAACGTTCGATTTACCTTTCAAAGCATTTTGACACTCTTGAAATGTATCATATCTGTAATCAGATATACATCCAATACCACACGAACACACGAGATTCCTGATTAAACATCCTTGCTTAGTTTGTCCCACCTCACAGCTCCGACATACTTCAATACCTACAACAATTATTTCAGGCAAATTAATAAAAGTAATAAAAAAGGGCGGCAATATTAATTTTGCTTGATTATAAATTAAAATAAGTAGTTCGACAATCATTTTCAATCGGATGTCGAAAATCTAATTCATTGTAGTAAATGTTGTTAAGTAATAGGACTCATAAATATATAGACTCCTATACATTGGAAAATTCAATATTGCGTCACAACAGAGATTCAAGTAGGAGGATAAATAGTGTAAGAGGAAAGTTTGTTTTTATAATTTAATTAAATTATAAAAGCACATGACGACTTAATGCAAGAACCGGCAAAGAAAAAGTACCTGATATCACTGAAAGATACGGGCTACGTGCACGTAACAACAGGGGCGATCATCTCAAAAAATTTGCCAAGAAGAAGAATACGTAGTATAAAACACCTGGTTTAAACTACCTCCCAGGAGAATATATACATGGAAATCACCCAACAATCAAGAGATTGTAATTGATGTTGCTTTGGTTAATCACATATTTAAATCACCAAAAACCTACCCAGGTATAAACGTAGTGTCAGACCACAATCAAGTCGTTAGCAATCTCAGACAAAAACTAAAAACAATATGCCGAAGCAAACCAAAAAAGTACAACATTAAAATACTTTTACGAAACGAAACTAATAAAGGAAATGTAGCAATCAAACTTAATGAAGATCTGAAAAAACAATCATAACAGGATAATCGAGGAGCTAAAAGCCGATATTGTGATGGAGAAACCCATCGATGCAACAGCTACGATATATAGCTTTAACAATAAATTCACAATTAAGATACCAGGCAGGCAGACTGGAATAAAGGTGTACCCATAAAAGCTGCTGCTACCTGGTACACGGAAGGCTCAAAAACATCGGAGGGTGTGGGAGCCGGAATAGTAGGGACAAATCAAGGGATGCATTTCCCGGTAAGTGTATCTAAGGAAGTGACAGTTTTGAAATAACTGCAATCCATCACTGCGTGGAAGAAATAGAAAGGTAGGAAAGAACCTTCTGTTCAGTTGCCATCTTGACAGATAGTCAGGCAGCGCTTAAGATACTCAATCCTGTAGAGGTCAATTCTAAGCTAGTATGAGATTGCGTGTGTGCCGTAAATAGACCGTTGCAAGGTTACGGTAGCCTAGGTACCGGAGCAGGAGGGTCATAAGGGCAATGAAAAAGCAAATGAAATGGCCAAACAAGGCTCATCAATGCCATTTATTGGACCGGAACCCTTCTGCGGCGTTGCAAAGTCAGTAACAAGAATGAATAGAAGGAAGTGGGTAGCTCACAAATCTCTGGAATGGCGGAGGAATTAACCAGGGCGAAGACAGGCGAAACAGTTCATTACAGAACATTTGCCAAAATTTACGGCAGACCTAATAAGCAAAGACAGGAAAACAGTCAAAGCCATAGTAGGTCTTCTAACAAAGCACTGTAAGCTGAATAGGCACTTGAAGCTCATGGGTTTATATGATGATGGTCTGTGCAGATTCTGTCACCTCGAAGAAGAAACAGCAGAGCACACTTTATGTCAGTGTGACAGTCTGGCAAATGTGCGGTTCTTTGCATTAGGAGAAGAAAATCCACCGGCAAATAGCTACAGTCTTGAAGCTACTACACTTTATAAAAACGGTAAGGCTAGATAATGTTATCTAGGACTAGAGAACCACAATAGATCTGAAAAGGTGGCAGTGGAATAGGCCGCGAGGCCACCTCTCTTAATCTAATCTAATCTTATCTATATGGAAAAATAGAAAATCATTGGCAAACCATAAAAAATACTATAGTTGGAGTACAAAGAGAAGAACTTAAGAATACGAAAAGAAAGAAACAGGAAAATGGATGAAAAAGGACATTTTGAAATTCACATCTATATAACATAATATACCCATTTTAGCTGACATCAAAGAAAGAATAATTATAAAAACAAGGAAACAAATGCAAGTATGGGAGGAATTTATCATAAAATCCTTCGAGAATGACAGACCTGAATTGCAACAGGCGTCGATGTGGGAAATAGGATGGTCCCTAAGCCTAGACAAAGAGGTAAAACGTGCAATAAAATGTGCAAAGAATTGGAAAGCTTGTGTACCAGACGAAATAGAAATAGATGTAATAAAACTAATAGATGATACCAACATAAAACTACGGATAACCAACCATAACCGTTTATGGTCATCTGTGATACAACTCATAATGATGGACTTATAGTGGAAGGAAGAAGAGGTCCAGGAAGGCGAAAATGCTTCTGGTTGAAGAATGTAAGAGACTGGACTGGTATGGACACACATTCGATACTAAAAACAGCTCAAGATAGAGAGCAATTTGCTGTAATTATAGCCAACCTTCAGCAATGAAGAAGGCACCTTAAGAAGAGCAGTGATACCACTACTAACACATCTCTTTACCAACATCTATGAAAGTGGGGTAATGCCAAGGGCGAAAGAAATTGCTTGAATCAGAATTCATACCTATGCTAAATAAAGCTAACTCAAGCAAATGTGAAGAACTTAGACTCATTAGCTTAGCTTAGCATATATAATTATATTAACATTGTAACTGATGCATTGGACTGACAATAAATCTTCAAAAGACTAAAGTAATGGTGATTATAAAAACTGATGAAAACTGTCACATTGGCCCAAAAACACCAAGCTTGAACAAGTTCGCAAATTTAGAAATTTAAGAGTGGTATAACAAGGTTTCTGGTCGGAATGATCATGCACCGACGCTATATTTATAATGAGGCAAATGCAAGAGAAATCATTAAAATACAACAAACCGACATATCTATGTTTCGTAGACCTTAAGAAGGCATTTGACCGGGTCAAATTAAAAGACGTTATCCACTTACTGTACGCAAGAGAGATACATCTAGGAATAATCAAAACGATCGAAAATATTTACCAAAACAACGCAATAGAAGTAAAAGTGGAAGAAGAACTGACCGATCCTATTTAAGCTGGCAATGGAATAAGATAGGGAGATTCTCTGAGTCCTCTATTGTTCAACCTGATTATGGATGAAATAATAAAAAAAATACGAACTAAAAAAGGACACCAAATGGAGAAAAACAACCTAAAATAATCTTCTATGCAAACGACGCAATACTACTCTCTCAAAGTGAAGACGATTTATAACGTATGCTGCAGCAATTTGACATAACCGCCAGAAAATTTAACATGTTCATTTTCCACAAAAAAAAAAGACAAAATGCATGGATACAAAATGTATGGCAAGACCCTATGGGACAGAGCTAGAAGTACAGATATACGACGTAGATGCAAGGTGGAGAACATCAAGAATTGGGTAAGAAAGAGAAGAGTAAAATGGAACGATCATATAAGCCGAGTGACAAGAAATAGAGTAGTAAGGACGGGAAGAGACGGTTTCCCAATAGGAAGAGGTAGAGTCATGTCTACATTAAAAGAAGAAGAAGAAGAAGAAGAAGAGTACTAAATGATAAATGGAATCCAGATATAGAAATAAAAACAGGAATAAAACAGGCCAGAAACATGTACAATAAATGGAAGCAAATTATCTAATAAACAGCCACAGGCAGTGTCAATTATGCTCCAAAAAAAGTAAAGCTAAACTAAAAATACAAAAATGATCATTCAAAGAATATAATTAAAAAATTCTAATTATTTTATCATTTATCTATACACCTTGTAGAGAAAATAATGTGGAGATCACCAGAAATGACTGTAATTAAGCAATAGATCGGAGCAATAGATCTCGCAGCATTATCTGGAGATTTGACGAAAGTATCAGCTCGTGCGTAGAGTCGTACAAAAATTTTATTAGAAAATATTACAAAAAATATAGTCAGAAGAAAAATTAATTGATTTTATTCTGGGAATTTATTAACGTCAAAATCTACTCAACAAGTAATTAATGCAAAGTTGACACTAATTCATTTTTTTCGAATCCTGAGAGAACTAATTAGTATTTTTGAAAAATTTAAACGCAGAATGAGAGATTACATTATTACCGAGGGTCGAAAGTCCCTTAAAACTTCTATAAGGTTTATTTTAGTAAGTTACAGGGGTGAAAAAGAAGAGAAAATCAACTGTGATTTTTCATTTCAAATATCTCATTCGAAAGAAACTTTTTGTTTATTTTAACGGACTTTCGGCCCTCGGTAATAATGTAATCTTTAATTCTGCGTTTAAATTTTTCAAAAATATTTATTAGTTTTCTCAGGATTCGAAAAAATGAATCAATTTAAAGCATTAACTCGAAATTTTGCGTCTACGCTCTTAAGGTAGAATTATAGAAGATTATACAATATCATAATATTATATACTATATAATATACCTTCTTTTTAAATTTAACACTTTAATCTTTACTTGATTTTTTATTTAATATTAATCACTTACTTAAAATAAATTTAAAAAGGACTTTGCTTAATTTTTTTAAACAATGCAGGTATTAACAAATTTTAAAAATCTGATACATAATTCTACATCTCCGGTGGCAACTTAAAGAAAATAGGCGTTAAAGGATACTCACATATGAATAAAACCACAATAACTTTGACGAGCATAATTGCCTTAAAGTAATTGTTTCTGTTAACTCTCTAACACGATCCCTTTACAAAAACCCATGTAAACTTAATAGCTACTGGCAATTTAACGATAAATGATGCGCTTCTGTTATAGATAAGGAAGTCGTTGGCCTCTGTATCTTGTACAATACGATAACCAGGGGCGGCTTATGTGGTCGTTGGTTCATCGGGTACATTCTAAAAGAAACACTGACTTTATATTATAATCAATAAATATGCTTCACTCTACACTATAAGTAAGTCGGTTAAGTACACATACAGTGAGTATAACCTCATACACATACATCGTACACATATGTAACCACTCATGATACAAAGTAAGATCGCCGGAAGGAGAGGCCCAGGCCGACGAAGAACATTCTGGCTCCGAACTCTCCGAGAATGGTATCAAGAGACCACCGCTAATTTATTTAGAGCCGCCGTAAACAAAGTTATTATTGCCGATATAAACGCTAATTCGATAATCGGACAGGGTACTGAAAGAAGAAGATGTATAACCACTAGTAACAACAGCTTCTTTAGTTGTCTTCCTTCAAAGAGCATTTTCGATTGTCGTTGTCGACCAATATGGCAAATTTTCCTACCTCCTGAACTTCATGAATTATGGAGTTTCCTGTTCTATATGTTCATTATGTTACGCAGCATAGCCTAGCACTTATTTCTTTCTATACTCCTCTTTCCTTCGATCTGGCCTTGCAATATTAATTAAAGTTATTCTTTGTATGGTGCATCAAATATCGAAGCTATATTTTTTTAAATCTTAATTACGTTAACTAAATATTCATACTGTTTAACAACTGTTTGTTAGTAGATTTTATTCAACTTCAACTTATTAGCAACATCGGTCGGTACATCAACGTTTCGAATGCATTTAGTTTTTTTATGTCAACTTGCTTCTTGCTTGCAGGATGCATTTTAATATCTTGAATCTTACTAGACTGGATATTTTTCGGTTACAGATTATTTTAAACATATCCATAAAACCTAGTCTTGCTATTTTCAAACATCTTCTAATTTCTATTCAAAACATTCTTTTGTAATTTGTTATTGAGAAATTCTGTGGAAGTTTGAAGAGATGTTCTAATGATATATTCAGCATATACATTAACTAGAATGAAAAAATATGCACTCATTTCAAAATTCTCGTTTTATATTTATGTTATTGATTTTGACATTCAAATTTTGAATATATTGCCTCTGTGAGTCTATTTCAATTTTGGTAAAGAGAAATAAAAATAAGACTTACTCCATCGAGCAAAAAGACAAAAGAGGGAATGTAAAGGTAGTGGGGACAAAAATATTGTTAGACAGGAAGTGCTATCTTGAGAGGCCACTTTAAACAAGGAAAGAGACTGTCTTTCATGGCGGTGAAGGTTAGGTCAGATAAAAGATTTTGCTAAGGGTATGCTAAATTTTTAATTTAATGTTTAGTTTTAACAATAATTAATAAATTACTATTTAACTGGGAATAAGCCACAATTAAAGATAAAAATACGTTTATTGACGCTTCAATTTCCACTTCGGAAATCGTTCTCAAAATACAAACAGTAAATTAAACAAATTTTGTTTTTTGTTACATAGTGAAAAATTCTTCTAACAATTTAATTTTATCTGACTCATTTATATTGACAATTCAGACATACTCAACCAATATTATTGAGTTGCGCTCCTAGGACGACTTTACTTATAAGATAGTTCATTCGATTACATGAAATCAACTTTAACTTGAGAATATCCGTCAGAAAAAATCATAGCATGTAATTCGTCTTTAAAAAGACAAACACATGACATAATGACAGTAAAATTCTCCTGTTTTAGCATATGTAACGATATGTAAAGTTTTGTTCGGTCTGTATTGGTTTAACATGATCTCTTCTATGTTAACCGTTCGGAAATGAACTTTTCCGAATCTTCTCCTCGACCATAGCAAAAGTTACATGACGGTGTTCCATGTATAAGGCTTGAGAATTTCGAGCATTTTCCTACATTCACAATAAATCAACAACATATCTACATATTTATTAGATGTAAATAGATAAAGCATTTTTACTAAGTATGAATTCAGAATATTTAAAAATTTTATTTTAAAACTACAGTGAAACAATTACTAAGTGAACCCGAGAAATGGCATTAGCTGATCCTATTTGTAGTTGTCAAAAAACGATTTAAATAAAATTTCAGGGATAACTTACTTTTCTTGTCAATTTGTAAAAACTATAAAAATATTCTAGTTTCAGGTTAATTTGAACATGATAAATGCACCATTAAATTGAAAATTTAGCGTATTTAGTAACATTCACACCCATGATCAATTTAATTATTTTCAATTGTAATGACGTCACAGCGCCCGTGATGACATTACCGATCTCATGTATAAATCAAATTAAACTGTATCGATAATTGAACTGTATCGATATAGCCATATATATTTATCCAGAGAGATCAGAAGATGGCACACGTTGCCAGAAACCGAACAGAATAGCGACAAATCTTAAAGTAGGCCAGGATCCACAGAGGATTATCGAGCCAAAGATGATGATGATTTATCCACAGGTGAATGAAAGTCATAAGTACATTGCAACATATGTATTTATATATTTAATGACAAATAGGAACGAGCGGCTAGTTCACGTATTTTTTTAAGAACAGATATTTGACATTGGTCCTTAGCTTATGTTTCAAACCAACGTAATGCAATATCTAAGCAAGTAAACGCTTCTGATGCACCAATTATGTTTTCATCACAGACGCACACAACAATTTTTGTAGAGCGCAGCCAGCTACGTGTGACATGTGTGTTCCAATGGAACAGTGGAACACATGTCCGAAGATCAAACTGGTCACACTCCGTAATGGAGTAGACGTAGGATAGACGTGAAGTAGAATAAATAGTAGACAAATGCGTCCACCTAGCTTCTAAGATAAAAATAAGTACTGACAACCAAACGTGTGATCTGCCAATATGAATAACATCATATGACGTACTGCATATTGCAAACTGTAACACGTATTCAAACAAAACATCCTAATCACTCTAAAAATGTAAGCGTTTAGCCAGTGCGTACTGCTATCAGTGGCAGATACCCAAAAGAGAATAGGGGAAGTGCCCCGAACAAGGTCAAAAATTAAAGAAAAAATTGGTGGAACATAAAAATATATTACCTGACATGAAACTTACATCACAGACTGACAAATTCACTCCAATAAACCGGCTAGTAAGGAAAATTAAGAGAACTTAATATCTTTTATGTAGTTTGAGTTTATCTTTTCTATGTCTTTTGGTTGGTGTTTCATTAGAAGCCTCCCCTTCCCCTCCAAGGAAAATGCCTAGATGCGCCACTGACGGACCGTAATTAGATGCGGAGTTAAAATGAGCTAACTAAAGCATTATTATAAAAATTACAAGGCAATACTTTGTCTAACTTTGAGAGGCAGAATACTGGTGGACTGGCAGAAAACTGGCGTAAAAGGTATTATAGAATACATTACAAAATTTACACGGGGAAACTTGCAAGACAAAAAGGCAATAGATGAATAAAAAATGTATAGTGACGACCAAGGGACGTCACTCACAAAAAGCAGTCGTGTAAGGTTCCTTACCCGATAGACAAATGACCTAAAAAGTGTGGGCATAAACCGGATTAGTGCTTCGCATGACAGAGGAAGATGGAGGCATTTGGAGGACAGTTATGTCCGACAATGAACACATTTTGCTATTATCACCATCTTTTATTTTACAACTCATGGCTCACATACATGATATTGTTCTAATAATGATTTTATCATTGTTAGAACAATTTATTCATACTTTAATAAAGTTTAAAAAGTCTTAAATTAAACCATCTCAATCCACACCTGAAATAAATACAAATTTAAAGAAGTATGAATGGATAAGACCCATAAAACTATAGAAATGTTTATTATGGTTACAATAAATAAATACCAAAACATAGTAATAAAATAGTTTCCTTATACAAAAAATGCTTTTAATCAACTTCGTTGATAAAAGGGTCAGTTGACCATACTAAAATAAATTATTAGTTGTCTATTTATATACTCGGAGGATTTATAAAATACAAAATATCTATGTATGGATATAAAACAACGCCAGACTTTTTAAGGTCTTCCCAATTCCATTAGTTTCAAAAATTTGATTTGACTGATTTGATTAATTTGACACTTAAGCTGAGTTTGATGAGGTTTGATAAACTTTAATTACATATATTTTATATACGTTTCGTATTTTACGAAAAAGTCACTTATAAACACTATAAACAAGAAGAATATGTCAACGATAAACAACTTCTTCTTCTTTTTGTGCCACTCCTATCGGAGATTGGAAATCATCAAGGCTATTCTGACCTTGTTTACGGCTGAACTAAAGAGTTCATTAGTGGTGCAGCCAAACCACTCTCTCAAATTCTGCAACCATGACATTCTTCTACGGCCTGGATTCCGTTTTTCTTCTATTTTTCCCTGCATTATATTTTGAAGTAATGCGTATTTATGTCCTCTCATCAGGTGACCAAAATATTCGAGTTTTCTTCGCTTTAGCGTTAACAAAATCTCTGGGTCTTTTCCTATTCTTCGTATTACTTCACAGTTTGTTATTCTTTCAACCCAACGAATCTTCAACATTCGACGGTAGCACCACATCTCGAAACTTTCAATATTTTTCATGTTGTTCTGTTTGAGAGTCTAGGCCTCTACACCGTATAATAGCGTGTTAAATACATAGCCTCTCAGCATTCTTAATCGTAGAGGGATGCTTATATTTCTGTTACAGAAGAATTTTCTCATCTTTATGAAGGTGGCCCTGACAATTTCGATACGTCTTTTTATTTCACTGTTTTGGTCTCCAGTTTCGTTTATTAAAGTTCCCAAGTATGTGTAACTTGATACTTTTTCAACTTGAGTGCCGTTTATACTAATATACGCTGGTTGTGTCATGTTTTTACTGAAGACCATATACTTGGTTTTTTTAATATTGATATTTATACTATAATTGTTGCAAGCAATATTTATGTCTGTAAGTAATCTTTGTAATTCTTCTGCT